GAGAGAGAGAGAGAAAGAAGAAGAAGAAGAAGAAGAAGAAGAAGAAGAAGAAGAAGAAGAAGAAGAAGAAGAAGAAGAAGAAGAAGAAGAAGAAGAAGAATCAGATTCAGACCCCTTAGAACCTGAATCTGATTCTTAGCACTCTGTAAAAATTCAGCTGGGTGGTGAGCAGTTGTGAACAGAGCAGCTAGGAAGTGGAGACAGGTGGATATGTGGGCACTTGCTTGCTGTCCATCCAACTGGTATAAGAGTTCCTTAACCAGTGAACCACAGATGAGTGAAAGACTGTCTCAGAAAACTAGATAGAATGCTTCTGAAGAATGATACCCATGGCTTGCCTCTGTCCTACACACACACACACACACACACACACACACACACACACACAAAGGTAGCAATTCTTATGAAGGTTCATCAGTTCCACCACTTCTTACATATTTTCAAAGGAAACATCAATTTGTAAAGTTGGAGTTTGGCCACAGTCCTACCTTAGCAAGAATAAAATCAATTGAATTGAACTGAATGAATGTTTTCAGTGAAGTTTGGCAGAATATTATTCCATCAAATCACTGTCACTCAGGACTTTTGAGACCTTCTTCTGTTTATGCCACCAAACCGAAGATTGCTTATCCATGGCTTGGTAAAAACTTCAGGTAACAGAGTCAGTGGAGCAAGCTTAACTCCAGAAAGTATGAAGAAAGATGCTTTCTCCTTATGCTTTTCCCTTAAGAGAAAGCATCTTGTGTCAAACAAATGAACAAAACACTCACCAGCTTTGGCATAGTTAAGGGTTACCTTTGGAGTTCATTAAAATTCTACAGGGATTACGAGTACTGTCTATAACTGAAGTTATTAGAAAATTTAGTGGGGGAGAAACAGCAAGTGGGAAAATAAAACAGAGGTGTGCTAATGTGGACATGATCAGAGTCAATACAAGTCCCTGGAAGAGGTTTTTCTTGAGGGTATAAGATATCAATTTGCTACCACAGTCTATTTCCATAAAATGCATTTACCAATAAAATATATCTCAGTAGGTAGAATCTTAGCAACATCAAATAGATACTAATCAAACACCATCCACCTCCAGACACTACAAGATGAGGAGCATAACCCCTCATTTCTTTAATTTCAATATTTAATTGAATGTAAGGACCACTTATTTCTATTGTACAACATCAAAGAAACCTAAGGACCCCAGAAAGCCCTACCAGGGAAATGTAACCCCTCTACCCATCCCCATAGTTTTGCTTTCTTTTTTTGCAGACTCTGTAGTAGGGATGTCATTCTTGGTGAATACACACCCACTGTTTGAATATGTTACCTGCTGGTAGCACAAACTTGAACCAGTTTTAGAATTCACGGAAGGGAACATATTTTTCTTTCCTTAGTTTCCTAAATTGCCAATGCTTCAATCAACACTGTTATTCATTATAAGGTCCTTGGATGTACTGTAGATGCTACCATGTCCTCTCTTTTGTCCTTCCCTCCCTTCATTTTTAATCCTGTCCTCTTCGCAGCTTACTCTGGAGGGCTGAATACAAAACTGTCTCCCAAACTGGGCAGGAGAACGTGCTCCCTCAACAGCAGCTCTTGATAGAGCCATCATTTCATAATTGGCTACTCAGTGTTACCGCAAGGCAGCATGACAAGGCAAAGCATTAATAAAGAAGAGGAAAGAATCAATCGTTTTCACCTCTTCATCTCTGTCCCACTCCTCATCTAGGAGAACGCTTGGTAGGAATCTTATTTCTGTCTCTGTTGCGTACCACTAGGGTAAAAAGGTTTGCATAATCACATAAAATAAAGCCAGATGAGGGAAATAAATAAGTAAATTGGAATCCCCTTGAAGAAGCAGGACTGATCATACGTCATAATTCAACATTAGCCTACAATATCACACACCTATGCGTTATCATACACAATATCGAATAAAAGTTATAGAAACATTCAGTCAACCCGGGTAGCAGAGATATTCTCAGAGGTGTTTCATTTTTGGTCTTTTCCAGATTTGTACACAGCAATGGAGTTAGCAAGTTTTGTGGTGTATTAAACATCTGTTCTCGGGATCTATGTGCTATGTATACACATATGTCCTCTACAGAATTCATAACAGAATAAAAATTTTCAACTCATCTCAAGTAATCTACTAGATTGTGTTACACATTTTATCATGCTCTGCAGTGTATATAAAGTATATAAAAGGGCAAAAGTAAGAAAATGAAATTAAGATCTTATGTGTTGTGCATATTGAAAAGAAACACCTATGAGAGATCTGTTATTTTGAAAGTACTATTACTTAATAGCTGTGGTTTCTTGAATTCCATTTGTTAAAACAATGGATGTTCACATGCATAAAACTATTTACACACGCACACACACACACACACACACACATAAGTAACTTACACAATTTCATCGTTCTGGAATTCGAGCTCTCCACAGGTGTCCTCAAAGTCCTCTCCTCCCCCTCGGGCCGTCCCTTCAATGGTTTTATAGGGGACGATAACATTTCCTCGCGCTCCCGATGTTCTCAAAACCTTCACCTCCATGATGCCGATGCTCTCGCTCACATGAGTCACTGGCTCCTCAAATGTAAAGATGCCTGCATGGTCATCATCAAAAATGGTCACAGTTGCTGTGCAGGGTGACCCAAGACAGGCAAGGGAAGAAATATGATTGGCTTCCAGGATGCCGTCTTCTGAAGCCTCAGAAGAGACTCTGACGTTGCTCAGATGCACAAGGAAGTTTTCGTCCTCTTCAAAGATGTCGTCATCAATGATGCCGACCCTGATCTCCTTCTGGGTCTCCCCAGGTTTGAAGACCACAGTCCCTTCGGTGAACTCATAGTCAGACCCAGCATTGGCGGTGCCATCTTCCGTTCTGAAGTCGACTAACACAGTGTTGGTCAAGTCGCCCCCTCTGCGGATAATGGTGAGAGCCACGGTACCACAGTTCTCTAGACATTGGTATGTCCCTTGTTCAAAGAAGACCTTGCTGACTGGGTCATTTTCAGACCCTTCTGTGTTGACCTCATGCATGCTGACAGCCTTCCTTGCTTGGTCAGCTGCATGCCTCTTCAAAATGTTGCCGGCTCCAGTCATCAGGCGCGTGGCTTGAATCCGGTAAAAAGCTCGGCTTTTTTGCTGCTGACTTAGGACTTGATAGTTGGCTAATTCTATTAACTGCTCAATTTCTTTTTCTGGATGCTTCTGCTTAAGTTCCTTCAGAATCCTCGCCATCTCACGCCTCGCTTCCTCGTCATCTTGGTCCCTCTCATCGACTTCCAGAACCAGCGCGCCATCTAAGAAATTGTCAACGTGAGAGTTGACCACTTTCCCATCCATTTCAATTTCGGTTTTGGAAGCTGGTCTGTCTCCTTCGTGTTCAATAATCATCCCCCTCTGCTTGCCGGCCCTATACCGCTTGTAGACATACTTGTAAAAGAGAAGCCGCCTGTCTGCTACCCAAGCGAACACAACACAGATGGGAAAGAAGAAGAACGTAAGCAACCCTTCCCAGACCTCCACAACACCAGGAGAGATGACCGACAGAATTATATAAAGCCAGGTATAGGCGAAGATGCTCCAGGCTGCTGTCACAAAGAACACACGCAAGTGCTTAATCTTCCTTGTCTCTCCATCGGGGACCACATAGACACAAAGTGCAATGATGATGAACATGTTGAAGGCAGCACTTCCCACAATGGTACTGGGACCAAGGTCCCCTGCCGTGAAGTTATGGCCACAAACTTCAATGACTGACAGGAGAATCTCAGGAGCGGAAGATCCCAGGGCCATCAAGGTCAGGTTTGACACGGTCTCATTCCAGATCCTTACCGTAGTCTTGGAGGTCTCACCGTTGGGTTTCTTTATGGTTATTTCCTTTTCTTGAGATGTGATGACTTCTATAGAGGACATGAATCGGTCGGCAATGATAGAAACTCCGAGAAACATGTAGACCATGGCCACAAAGTACACAGTGGCTCTAGCAATTTTATCCCCAAAAGATGGGTCTTGGGGCTCCCAAATGGGCAGAATCACCCCTTTCTTACAGTAATAGGAGCCAGTACATTCAGTGGTTTCATTTCCTCCTGTTTCCGACTCTGTCTCCGCAGTTATACGGTCAACATGGGAGAACACGAGAGCCACCATAGCGACCAAACGAAAGCCCATTGAAACAGTCGGCGAGAGGTGTAATCGCAGCATGTTGTACAATGTGACTTCCAAATGTTCCAACCTAACAGTAAAAAAAAGGGGGTAGGAGGGGGAAGAAAAGAAATCACATCATTAGTACCTAATCATCATTAATAACTTGTTTGTATTAGTATCTGTTTGGCCATCACAAAATCTCTGGGGAATCATTATTCTAAGAATCCATCAGTGACTAAACAATCTTCCGTAAAATTTACAGTTCCATCTCTCTGTTTGTGGATTTTCTACGTATAGTCCCATTTACCAAGCAAAACACACAATTAACTTCCTGGAAATGACAAGTCCCATTACAGTGTAGCTCTATTGAGCACACACTGATGCACACTAACAGCCAACAATAAACCAAAAGCAAAACTTTTGAAGCATTAAGTAATTTCTTCCTTGTTGCTCAAGTGGATTTTCTTTTACATTTGAGTTAGTACGTTATCTTTGGAAACTATTTCATTGACAAAATCACCTTATTAAGATTCACATCTTGAAACTCAGATTCTGAAAAAAATCTTCTGACTACAAGGCACGTTGATTATCTTAAATTTTGGAGTACACCTTTATTGTGTTTTGTAAAATCACATCCCACTGCTCCAAGCTTCCTTGGAAACAGAGAAATCTTCAAGCTTGCTGGCAATCAAAACTCAGAAGTATTTGTTCTTGCGAGGAAAATATTCCGCTGAAAATGCAGTATCCCCACATTTTAGATACAGTTTTTACAAGCATGCTTTCATTAGAGCACCGGTTCCCCTCAATCTCAGCAAGTGAGATCTCTTGATAGATTGTCAGATGATCACATGGCTTTTCAAGCACAGCTCTCCACATCTGGATATACAGCCTGCTTTGGAAGAAGCTGGCATTGTGCAACAGGAACAAGAGATAACCAGGCCTGGACTGAGCTGTGTGGAAGAGCCTGGAAGGCTGTGAATCAGCCACGAAATGTTCCTTCTCAGTGTCAATGTCGTACTTTCCATGGTCATTCCAAAACACACATTCATTCTATAATGGGCTCGAGTGACCAAAAACAAAACAAAACAAAACAAAACAAAACATAAAAAAAAACAAAAAAAAACAAACAAACAAAAAACCAAAAACACAGGAGTAATGATTCCACCTAAATTAGCTCACATAGCATAATAACTGTGGCCACATATGATGAAGAGCTCTTGGCAGTTAAGGAGGTGGCAACAAGTCACTGAGCAAGACAAAGAATGGTAAAAGTGAAGTTGTCAGCTGGGCCACCACGGTCCTAAATTCACCCACTGGCTCATGCAAAGCTCAGCTGAGACTTTGTGTCATCTCTGCCTCCAGGGCCTGGGATTTGGGGTAAAGGCAAGAGAAGGTCTCTAACAGTCATCTGGACCACTTATGGCATTCACAAAGCATGGATAGAAAAGAAGTCCTAGCCAGAACTCCGTGTCACCTGTGGAAACTTAATTTAAAGTCAGATACCCTCACTGTTCCAATCTGGCTGTAAGCCACTCCACTTTTGCCTATGTTTTTTGACCCATGTGTGTTATGGATGGCTGGTGAAGAAAACCACAGCAAGGCCCAGGAGAATCCCTTGCCTAGCATGTAGCTAGCAGCAGACCACTTGGATCCTACCGTAGTAAGGAGTCCCTTCAAGCTCATAATTGATGAGGGTTTTTTTTTTTTAAACATTTCTTCCACACTAAAGAAGACCTGGTTGTGACATCAGACATCTAATTTAAATAAAAGGCTGATATATATATATATATATATATATATATATATATATATATATATGATATATGTGTGATATATATGTGATCATATATATATATGATATATATATCAGCCTTTTTCATGCTTTGAATATATATATATATTCAAAGCATGCAAAAGTTCCTAATCAGTCTGTCCATCTGTTTAGTCGTTGCAGATCTTTTGTGGATTGGAGAATCTTGGCCTACAATGAAGTGGCATTCAACCAGCTAGCAAGAGGAGTGAAAGATCCAATTGCAACTTGTGGATCCACTTAGGCCACAAACACTTGTCTAATATGAATTTCACAATCACTTCTTCTTTTTGTCCTGAGGATTCACCAGAGACCACAACACGAATCTCCATCTTCATTCATTCATTCTCTAATGCATAGGTAACAAAGAAATAAAAAACAAATACTGGCTATTAAAATGTGCCACAGTGGAGCAGAGAAGAATTAATTTAAGAACAGGCTGCTTGTGTACTGATGTGTATACACAAAAGGCATGCCTGGTTTTATATTAGGTGCTCAAAGATGAGGTAATATTTGAGCAAAGTCCAAAGGGAAGAAAGAGATCAAGCCTTGTAGATTCCTACATGAGGAGGATTCCAGCCAACTTCAAATGGTAAAGGTCCTAATAACAACAATACTTGGCTCAGTGTGTCTAGAACCACAGAGATACCTGTAGGGTGAAAGCAGTCAATCAGAAACAGATAGGACTCTGGAGTGTGGAGGTATTGGCCTTGACAGGAATGGAAATAGATCCTCTCCAAATTACTGTCAAATCTGGCACTCCACTTTCCATACTTCAGTCAGTATGAACTTCTACAAAGCAAAGAAGATATTCTCAACCACCTTAAAATTCCTTATTGGTTTTCTCTTGCTTATTTCCCTGTAGTCAGTGACTAGATGCCTAGGCTCTGCTGAAGACCTTTTAAGATCTGATCTCTCTGAGATCCAGGATGTAGTTTTTCCTGCTTGCTGAAAAGACAACACTGGCTTATCTCTGAGCTATTCCAGACTGTTTTCTGTGCCCCAGACTAGCCATTTTTTCCTGCTGAGCTTCATATTTTTTAAAAGCACAGGAGCAACTCATGGACCACTTCCTGAGACTAAGGCTTTCCATATATAAACACCGTTGTAAACATCATGCTAAGTTATTTATATGTATCAATTATTTATAATAGTTACAAAAGCCACTTCTGTGTTATACCCTCCCAGTGTTAAGGTTTCCATGGCAACCTAGGCAACTGGCACCCCTCTGGAACTTTTTGGTACCCTGACAATTGCTCTATGTTTAAAATGGGCTAAATGAAGCTTAGTCAGGTTAACCCCACATGGAAAATATAACTCTATGTCAGAGTGGGTTAACTGAGGCATAGGCAGGTTAGTACTTGGTGAAAGTCATACATAGTGAACTCTTGAATGAAGATTAAACCCAGATCTGGTTTAAAGAGTAATATCATTATCTTCTCCTCGATAGTAGATAAAGCACTAGTTGACAACAGTTGTATTTCTACTTGAACGAGCCCTGCAGAAAACCCCTTAGAAGTAAGGAGGACTGAATTAGCATCAGTCTCCTGGAAGGTTCCCAGCAGCCTGGATTTTCCTCCTATGGATTAGACACTGAAGCAGACAAGCATCAAGGGCAACACAAGAGCTGGCATGTTCCTAGAGACAGCTGCCCTGCACGCCGAGCCTTTAAGCAATTGCCTGGCAACCACTTCCTGTGTACACTGTCAGGGCAATCTCAGGTTCGCCAACAAAAAGCTCTGCCCGCCATCCCTACTGTAGCCCATATCTGACCCTGTTCTTAGCCAGGAGACTAACGGATGTAGAAAGGCAGGTGGAGCTGTGTGAACCCATCATCGTGAACCGCGTCGGTAAAGACAGAGGAGGGGCAGTGAGGGGCTTCGGAGGTGACCTAAAAACATCACAGTGATTTCCAAAAGGGGACAGTTGCAACAATCTGTGACATCGGCGGCTACAAAACACTGATGTAACTCATTGGCAGTGATGCAGCTGGAAAGAACTCTCTGGACTTCAGTGTCTGTCTCCATTAAATTAATACCAAATGCAAATACTCATTAGGATATGAATAGGTGTTATATAGGAGGCAGTTCCTTTCTGGCACCTATTGTCTCCCTTCATCCAGGGTCTTTTTCTTCATCATTTAACCACTTCTATTTCATCCTCCTTACACACATGCTTCCATAGAAATTGAACAGGGAGATAATCTAAGACCACAGAAAAGCAAATATAAATCTTGTTTCCCTCCAGACTTTCTTATATTCTTGCTCAGTCTACTGAATACTAGCACAAGTGTAGGTTGATTATGATGGATTCAGACCAACGATAGCCAAGGATCACTCAGAAACATCCATTACACCATCCAAAATTGCTCTTAGTATTACGTGAAGAATATCTGGAGTATTTTCTATATACCGCCTATTTTAAGTTAAAACAAAATGCCAGTATCACATACAGGTTACAGAGCTGAACGGTAGTGACCGATGACAGTGAAAAGCCAACCAGGTACAGGTAAGCCAGTCACAGATAGAAAAGGAGAAGAGTTACAGGTGTAAGGAACAGAAACATGAGCAAATGGATGCTCATCAAACTGCCAAGGTAAAGAGCCTCTACCACACAGATAAGCGGAGTTCTTATTCCCTTTGGAGGCTGTAGCCAGTTTTGACTGTCAAAGAGTACCTGACTCAGAGGAAAGGAATATGCTGGATTCCCACCGGCCCAGCTCACGAGATGGCCTAATCACATTCTGTTGATTGGCAGTTGGTGTTATTCCAAGGAACTCCTTGACTTGCTTGCCTAGGGACCTGGAATTCCCTTCCATGTTCTTGCTGACTGACCCCTTCAAAGCTAAGCAATTAATCTATTTCTAAGGCAACAGTAAAGCCAATGCAAACCTTTATCTACAGCTGATGCATGGATATCAGAGCTCCTCTAAACACAGAGAGGACATCAAAGGATGAAGACTCTTTGGATCTTACCATTCCATCTAGGATGCTAATTACAGCACCTGGTTCCACAGTCCCTCAGTCCGCAGCCAGACTTCAGGAAAGGACTCACTCTCCCCAGTCACCCCTGTGCATTAACAACACCATAACACACACACACACACACACACACACACACACACACACACACACACACACACGCACCTATCAAACAGAGCAAACGGTGTTTCATCTCTGCTGATGGATAGTGGATAAACTGGAAGGTTTTTGAACGAGGCAGGCTGTGAGAGGCCAGATGAGGGGCTCGTGACATTCTCTTTGAACTCATAAAACCAG